TTTTAACACAGGTTAGCATAGGGAGTTGGGAGTCCTTATTTATTCTCTTGGTCCATGCCCTTATAGCCTCAAAAGTAAATTCAGAAATCTGAGAGAACGGATCTTTTGAAACAGATTTTTTATTCTTTTGAGTACCAAATGTCAAAGCAAAGTGAAATTGTCAGGAAATTTCGCATTTTCAGCTTTTCCAATTAAAATCCTTACAGTTTGGTTTGAGGTTATGTTCTATTGTTTTGGACCAAACGATACATCGAACCGTTATCGAATACGGTCTATTTATTCTATGCCTTTCGCCTAATGATGATGATTATGTACTCTTATTATTTTCGTATTTTCCAACAATGACCTAGTTGGTCCTTGGTCATTCCTGTTCTAAAGTTAGTAGGTTAGTTATTTTACAGTTTATATTCACGGCTTCAAGTTGTCATTTCAAGCATTCTCTTTTGTCTGACATTGCGATGACGTTGAGTTTCATCGGAATAACTCTCACGCCTCTAAACCCTAGGGTATGAGTCCAAACAACTAATGCAGCCAACCATCTCTCCTGTTATCTACGCCAGCAGCAGTAATTTCGTGATTTCAGTGTAGAAGTATATTATAAAATGTTCAATCTCTCAAAAACTGTATCCAAATTTTACTCTCCATGTGTCAGGAGCATTTTCCTGAGCAGTGTCCAACTCAATCGAGACTTGTACAGTGTCCTAGGCGTGAAGCAGTCTGCGACCCAGGCTGAAATCAAAGGAGCTTATTACAACCTTTCCCTGAAATTGCATCCAGATAGAAACAAGGGCAGTGACGATGCCGCAGAGCAGTTTCGTTTAGTGACTGATGCCTATGAAGTTCTTGGCAACATCAAACTGCGGAAGTTGTACGATCGAGGGGCTCTCCATAAACAGCCATCTGGAGCCTCTGCGCCACCTCCACAGCCTCCAGAGCCAGAAGAACCGCTCGACAAAGACACGAAACAAAGGTTCACCAGTTCATTACCCCTTTTTTAACAATTCGTTCACCTGAACACCTGAACCAGGGAGCCATCTAAGTATGCTCATTGAGAGTCTCAAAATTTCTCTGCCCAGTCTTACTTTGGGAAGGAAAAAATCCTGCACACTAGACTGCTTTTAGATGATTCTATGTGATCTAGGGACGAGATTTGCCACTATGTTGTGTGCTATGCGGTTTGTGTCTTTGAGGAGCAATAAGTGTAGTTACGCACAAGTTAATGTAAGAAACTGATCCACAACTTGTAGCAGCATTAATAAGAGTAGAATGACACCAAATTTGGGTTGATTCATTGTAAATTTATACCTGAAAATACGATAAGGAACGTCGCCTATTGACTCAATGTGTAAGAGAGAGAGAGAGCGGTGTAAGTAATGACTCCCTCTCACGCATTGAGTGATAGGCAACGTCCGTCACCAAAGTTTCAGGTTTAAATTTACAATAAACCTACACAAATTTGACGTCATTCTACTCAGTATTAGTGCTGCTACACATTATGGATTAGTTTCTTGCATTATCCTGTACATTACGATAATTATTGCTTCTCATAGATGTTAACCGTGACGTAGCGCAACAAGTGGCGGATCTTGTCCCTAGATCACATAGAGTCACCTAAATACAATGTACAACAGCGTTAGATTATTTTAATGTAATCAATCTTATTCAATTCCATCTTAACATTCCATTCAGCGAGAAGGTTAAAAGGAAATTTAACATTAAAAAATGCTGGATTTTTTTGTACTATCAACTAAGTGCAGGTTGGAAACGAAGCAAATCTCATTTAGTGGAGGGATCAAATTCGAGACTTGCACATTGATTAAGAGCTTTTATCATTCCTAAATAAATGTATTATACTGTGACCAAAGAGCTGTTGGCACTTGGTAAATAAACTTATCACACATTCCACAGAAAACTCAGCAGCTCCTTTTGGCTGGAGGGCAGAAGCAACAGCTCCTTTTGGCTGGAGGGCAGAAGCAACAGCTCATCTCCATGCTCTAACTGGAGGCCACTGAAAGGTTCATTGGTGGAATCGTTGACTGTTGCCTCTGACAATCTTTTAAGCGTCTAGCCCACCTGCAAACTAGGGGCTTCAAAGAGGCTCATCGATGGAACTGTTGACTGTTGCCTTTCAAAGATCGTCAGGCTGACGATCTTTGAAGGTAACAGTTGTGTTCAGGATACATCACTGATCAGATCTTGAAATTTTTAAGGAATTCCGTGCAGAAATGGTTGAGAAATAGAAGAATTGGTGCCAGTTTGAGAGACCCAGTTAGAAAGTGGGCTGCACGCTTTCAGGTCTTATAACTTTTAATCCTTAACAAGATGGAGAAATTGGGTGCTTAAGCTGCCTTAGTTGATTGCGCGACACGACAAAGCGGTAACATGGAGTCGATATCATTTCAATAATCGCCCCGCTGAGCTGAAAGCTTCCCCCCCCCCCCC